CGCTTGTTCGTTCATGTTTACTTGAGTACTAGTAATTCATATCATGTAATTCATGTAAAACTTGTGAAATCATTTGTAAATGACTTTTGTCATGGTAACGTCCATTCGAAATGGTGTGTAATTACTGTGTTTGCTCTATTAGAATTGTTAGTGCAAATATCGCAAAATAAATCATATTTATTTTTAAGAGGAGGGAATTGCAAGTACGAAATGTAACTTTCAAATATGCTTAAAATTCCCGAACGTTCAACCATACTGAAAAAAAGATTATAAGCTTTGAATGTGAATAGATATTAGCTGACACGGGCTGGAAAGATGAAAAGAACCTTACTGCATGTTTATTTGATCCATTCTCTGGCTTAGTCATCCCAGATTTGACAGCAATATGTGCGCTTGCACGCGATAAACCAGACAAATTAGTCGCAATTAACATTCCTCGTAAGCAGACATTGCTATTTCTGTTATCTCAATCATCTTGCCCATCAAGTTTAATTTTTTTTAAACCTCAAAATCAAAACATTTCTCTTGGTATTCAATAAATTGTGTTTGATTATGTTACCCTGGTAACACTGAAATTGCACATCTATGACGATGAGACGGTGTTTTATCCACTGTTTATAACATCAACACAAGGCATAACAACTTTGATCTGACAGTTTAAAATGCCATGTTTTTTGATAGTAAAATTTAAAGGTTTTTAGAATTTCAAAAGTATTCCCTGATAAAAAATAAGTAAATAAGTCTCTTTATATCAAATTTTCATAAATGCAACTTTGTATGATAAATCCTGTGCAAGCCCACATATACTGCCTATTATCTTTTATCTGTAGCTGGAACACAGACACCAACAGTATATTGTAAATCAAAATTGCATGTACCAGATGTTTTATGTGATCAAAATCAGAACATTATTTAACAACATTTTTGACCAAGATCCGTAGGCAGCTGGGAAAAATGTCTATTTAGGTTAAATTTAAAGAAAAATTAAAAAAAAAATGTTCAAGATGTTGTGCCAAAATTTTAATTGGAAAAATTATGGTACTGTAAAATACTTTATTTTTGCTTGGAATTTATTTTTACTATTTCCGCTGAAGGAATGATTCCGTGAAAATAAAATCCAGAAAATATACATTTTTTCCTATATTTCACATTAAACTCATCAAAAATCAGTGAAAATAAATTCCATACAAAATGCCCAAAAAGCCTTTTCAGTGAAAATTAATTCCAGCGAAAATAAATTATTACAAAGTATTCAAAAATGTAGGTATATCAGTGTAGGTAACAGCTGGTTACATAGTTTGCATTGATTTTATGCTACCAGGTATGAAATTATGAGAGGCTTTGGTTGTCTACCTATATCTGTTAATTTGATTGAAAACTACACTGGTATATAACGGATGATCACTTGTGGTACATCAATTTTTATTCCTCTCTTCAGTAGTAAAATAATAACGTTAATAAACCAACTGTTTATGTGACATGGACACAAGTGTCCATATCACTTGACATATTTCTATTATTTTTATATATGTTTAAAGCCAGTGGTCATTAGAACCACATGCTTTTAGATGTGCTCTATATGTTGCTATACATAGTATGGGACCCACATCAAATGCATTTGCCATGATGACCATCACTCTTCATATCCATACATTTCCAGTGAAATATTTATGAATGACGGAAAAATACTTCCAGATATTATCAACTGAAATTTTCATTTTTTTTCTCTTCTAGGCTTATCACTTGTTTTTATCTTCTCCATTCAGAGTACGGCAGCAAGATGTGTCCATCATGGATGGTATTTCAGAAGGCATGTTTCTTTGGTTTACTGTTAACTTCCTCAGAGGTAAGCGGGTTGTACTTTTACTGTTACTAATTCTCGGCATCTTAAATGCGATGCTTTTGTTTGATTTAACAGCAATCATGTGACTCATTTCGATCTGTCAACACAATGTTTTGCAACATGAAATGTACTTTGTCTTGCTGTAACAGAAACAAATAAATTTGAATATTTGAATATGTCCTGTCTTGTCTGATTTTAGTCAACCTTTGTTTGAACCAGGTATCATAATATTACCAAGCTCCTCACGTAAAGCTAAATGATATGAATACAATTTCAATCACAGGTTCCTCAATATAACTTTGTTACTTACCGGTTGTTACCATAGTTACCAGCAAGAGTAAAAATCAGGATCACTATTATATGAAGCTGCAGGCAGCGATTTAACCATTTGAGTGCCAGATATTTTCCCGCTCAAAATTCAGCGAAAATATTTTCACATTTTGTAAAATTGTCACAAAATTTCATCATCAATTTGAACCATGCAGACAGTTTCAGATATTGCTTTTACCAGTAGTTTTTTATCAAAAGGTTTATCACTATTTATCAACATTTCATGTGGGGAGGAGCAGAGTGTACAACATCACTTTGTGGATGGTACCAAACGGTTAACAAATATCTATGTTTTCATTACATCACTTTGTGGATGGTACCAAACGGTTAACAAATATCTATGTTTTCATTACATCACTTTTCAGGTACATTCTTTGATGATTCATCATCTCCCGTTGGTAGCATTGATCTTGGAGGTGGTTCATGCCAGGTGGCCTTCGTACCACAAAACCAAGACACGATACTTTCATCACCCAAAGGACATATAGAAGATATCAATATCTTTGGCAAGAAAATTAAGCTTTACGTACATAGGTAAGTTACTTTGTGGCATTGATTTTTTTTTAAATATCGTATTGTCAATGTGAAATTGATTGTAATTAGTCATTGATCAGTACACAGTGTTTCATAACATTTTCAATTCAGGAATTGTTGTTGTGGTATCGGAGGGGATGCACCCGGTGTGTGCCCACACTAAGACTTTCATTACTCATACATTTATATCTCACAATCCAATTTGATAATGACATCATTTTAAAGCCTCCTCTCCTCTCTCTGACACTCACACACAAAACAGAAATTGTAGTTTGTTTATCCTAAACGACACAATCAATTTGGTTTTCAAATAATTAGGGAAACCTTACACAGGTGAACCTAGAACAGATGTTAAACATACGTGAGTGGATAAGTCTTTGCTAATATGACAAAAGTGTATCGGTGTCTTTAGTGTGCAGGTCCTTGATTTAATGTGTATTTTTGCTCTACATCTTCACTCACAGTGATGTTATATAACCAAACAAACACATCATTTTCAGACTGTTACACAGAATCATTTAGTAGATGACGTCATGTTTTCTAATTTTTCAGTTATCTTGGTCTCGGATTGCAGTCAGCACGGTTGGCAATGATGGGTGGGAAGGAAACTAAAGATGGTACGTGTTACTCCCACTAAACTTAGTTTATGGAAATCTAATCATTTCATATACTTCACTATCCATGGCCTTGGTTTAGAGACTATACGCATTTATCCAAACTGTCTAGTGAATATGTGATATGAATATATCAACGGTATCTGTGAATGACCAATGCTGGCAGCATGTGGTTTACTCAAGGCATGTTCTAAAACTTTCATTGTACCCCGAGCTCCCTCCCTCTTTACATTACTGTAAAGCTGCATACTTCTTACACATAGTACTCATAGGCAGCAATAATGCATGATTTGCATTACATTTACTGCAAGTTTTGCATTGTGTAGCATATTTATGTGACAGGTTGTATAATGATCTATTGTATTTACTCTATTAAAAGCGCATCTCCAATAGAAGTGCATATAAACCCCAAAATATCATGTTTAATCTGGTAATGTCTACTTCATTATTAAATTAGTAGGTATTTTGACAATAGAAACAACTGTAGTTTGTGCGAGTGAATCTGCTACTAATAGAGGAAATATTATGTGTCCTGAGTAACTGTATTTGCATTGACGTATAACGCAGATGAAACAAATATACTGGTAATGATATAATACATATCAAGTTTCATACTATCTTAATCAACAGAGACAGAGAACTTATTTCATGCCCTCTCTTCACCTTGCCTCCCACTGCACCATGAAGAGGAATGGGCATTTGGAGGGGTGGAATACACAGCGAGGGGGGCTGAACCGACCCGTAGAAGGTATGAAGAATGCTACCATATTGCACAAGATGTCTTAGGCTATCAAGTGCATCAACCCATTGAGCTTCAAGATCAAATAGTCTATGCATTTTCCTACGTAGTGGACAAGATTGAAGAAAGCGGTTTCCTAGGTAAGAACCCTGGTAAGGATTAGTTTTAATTCCATTTTTAGCTCGCCTGTCATCATTGATGACAAAGCAGAGCTTTTCATGTAGGTGATTGTCCATTGTCATCCCTTGTACGTTCCGCAACAATTCTATTTTCGACTTCTTCTTAAAAACGACCAGCTCATTTGTTTTGTATACTTTGATACTTTGGGTTGATCTTTGTTAGATTTGTTCATTTTGTGATGATATCTTCAATTCTTTATTTTGGTGAATATTTTTAGTAAAAATGCTATTTTCGACTTCTTCATGAAAACTACTGGTGGCACTGTATACAATCAAGACCGATTGTGGCATGCCGTAGCTCATTTAGATTGTATTGTTAAAGGAAAACACAGTTGTTAAATTTGGTGACCAGTTTAGTATGATAGAACGTGGTTACAGTCTTCAAATAACCACAATAGACAGGGTGGGAGTCAAGACCGAATATACACGATTCCCAGGTTTCATACTAAATGCTTGCTATAATATGCATGATATATGTCTATGTTAAAGGTTATTAGCATATTGTGTACGCAGTGTGCATGCTTCGGGCTCTTTTTCTGTAATCCACAACGCATGCGTCATCACAGTGAGGTCAATTGAAGTTTACGTTACATGCAACGTTACGTTCAGTACCATCAATGGGTTTCACCAAATTGATGGTGCTGAACGTTGCCTTCGTATTCAAACCCCACACATAAGCGACGCTACCAGATATATACAACAACGAACAAGCCAGAACTTTGGCTTTGATTTTTGTTATGTAGGTACCTTGGGTGAATATCGATATAAATTGCTATATCTTCAAGTCTCTATTTTTGTCTTTTTTGGTAAATGTTGACTTCTTGAAAACTGATTGCTTTGATGTGTTATATGTAGACACCTTGGGTTAACCTCAGGCAGATTAATAATGAAAGATGCTATTTTCAACTGCCTAAATATATAGTGGAGCTATATCAGCTTGTATTTTGTTTTTTTCGAAAATTAAATTATTTTTTCAAACAAAAACCAAGCCAAAATGTTTTGACTTTGTCTGGGCCTAACAGCAAATTATAGAATCAATTGTTGAATGGCAGTACGAAGTGTATGTTCCTTAAATGCAAAACAACATTTTTTTTTAAAGATATCATTATTTGATAGTTGTGATTTGATGTTAGCTTCTCATGCATGAATATTTTTTGTTCAAATTGCTTTCATAGAAATAGATGAACCTCAGCAAATAAAAGTACAGGATATTGACCTTATTGCTCAAAGAGGTACGTATGCTTACACAGTTTAC